CCCGGAAAAGAATAGCCACCTCACTGTTCCGCGTCTCACCCGCAGATGACATCGACGCCACCGTGAACCTCATCGGCAAGGAGCTCGTCAAGGACGGCGTCACGTTCATGGAGGTGGATAAATTCAACTTCGACTTTGAGACCAAGAAACTCCACCTCAACTTCCAGAACCTGTTCAACGGCAACAAGGACCTGGGCACGCAGATGAACACCTTCCTAAACACAAACTCGGCCGAAGTGTTGAAGGAGCTCAAGCCCAGTGTCCAGGAGGCGTTCGGCATGGCCTTCGGCGAAATCAGCAACCGCATCTTCAAGAAGGTGCCCTACAACAAGATCTTTGTCTAGAAGACGTGACTGCCAAAACCACCCACCCTAACCCAAAAAGAAATAGGAGAGAAGGAAAATGTCCTCCCGAGGGCGATCCACGGCTTCAGACTTACACATTTGCTTTTACTAATGTTAGATTGCTTACGTTCTTGACTTCCTCTGTGATATTGTTGCTGGTAAATCCTTTCCACACCAGATCACAAAGTGCAATTGTCTCATTACTCATTTTCACGCATTGACATTTTTCTGCTGATATTCACTTATTTTTTCTCTGTGCTGTGATTAGATTACCACGAGTTGTTGTAACTCTGGTATGGTTACATGTTTGTTTTTGTTTTTGTATAATATATGGAACTGTGATTGCACGTTTAGTGTGAGAGTATGTGTGTGCGAGTGAGTGTGTGTGTGTGTTTGAGAGTGTATACTTTGAGTATACCATACATTTTTATAACTTTAAGTCATTTTCTAAGTTTGTGAAATATCGAATCAACAATAAAAATGCTATTGCAACAAATTAAATCACACACCTATTCTTTTCGCTATACTATCTTTTTCCCTCGGAACGAAAATCTTCATCGGTGACCTATCGTACTAGAAGAGAAAAACCAGTGTTGTGGATTCGACCAGGAATCGATATAAATACAGCAGGAAGTTTAGTTTAAATTTGATAGACCATCGACAATCGTCTTACTGTGGCAAAGCCATCACTTTTGGATTTTCGTTATCGTTAATAATTGGCCGATTGAAAAAAAATTACACTATCTACGACAGTTTTGTGTTACTAGGGAGAGACGGAGATAAGAGGAAGAGGCGACGGGTGCCCAACTGCGGTAATCAGGTGTACACAAACTTTGTTAATCACTGGTAATCACTGGTAATCATCACTGGTAATCCTCACACTCGTGAGGGTCCTTTAAAATGACAAATTTGTTGATTTAGACATGCATTTTTGTGCACATCTTGCCTAAATACCAACGCGCTTGTTTAATATGGCAACTTTGCATCCCTCCCATGGACATAATCATGATTTGGTCAATCATATAAAATGCAAATTTGTAACTTGCATAATAAAGAATCAAGAACTACCAAAGAATTGCACAAATGTTCATCCTTCCCAGAACAAAAAAGTGCCGTTTCGATTTAGAATGCAGGTGGATCATACCATTCTACATAGGTAATCTTTGGTAATCTTTGATAATCATTGGTAATCTTTACAATTTGGTAATCTAGTGTACACATTTTTTTGGCACCCCTCGGGGAGAGGCGCAGTCATTTACGGCGCCGAGCGGACTGCTTTGCTTTGTCTTTTGTCTACAGTCAGTCAGATAAGTGCCTACCCGCACCCGCTCTGCCCGTATTAAGGCGCTATAGCCCCTTGGGTTGGCGTGGCGCACCTGCGTCTTCTCTTAATCCCTCGGTACAGTGGGGTCGGCTATAGCTACAACTATGTAGCTTTCAACAAAGAGCAGTTTTTGCCAAAAAGTCAAAATATTTTGGCTTTCTGGTCATTTTCCAGCTTATTTTCGTGAAGGAAAAAAAATAAAATAAATTCAAACTCTAGCGCTTAAGCGGCGCGAAAGTGAACGAAACGCACGACATTCTGACCCGGCGCTATCAAGTTTCTTCCAGGTGAGACCCACATCATAAAGCAGGTTCGTTGTTTTACCACGTATTTTCTCTAGGAGAGTAGAATGTCGGCGGGCGGGACGCTTCACAGCGATTCCGTCATAATGACCAGGCCACGGAGGCAACGCAGAGAAAGAGACACTCTGCAAGATCAAGGAAATGCACCCCTCCCCCCTCCTCCTCTGTCACTGGATCCTTGGCCTAGACCGACCAACTGGGACGAGGTAAACGCTTATCCGTGGCGCAGATAGCGTCCCAGTTCTCCTGGTGACATGCGATACGAGGCGCGCGCCCGGCCCGCGTCCCCCTGCCAGCAGTTTGCCCGTTCAGCGTCGGCGTCGAATAAGCTGCCCACCTGCCGGGAGCCGCTTCTGCAGCGCGCGCCTGGAATCCAATCTTCACTGTGAAAAAAGTACGAAAAAGTAGGTAGGTTTACAGGAAAATTTTCCTTGACGCCAGTTGTAAAATTATAATTTGTAATCGTAAAAATACATGCAGTACGTATCGACTTCAAATCGATTGGCGAGTAAAAAATGTGCTGTCGAAAATTTACAACTTGAATTATAATTCGCGTTTACAAAAATTTTGTAAATTTACGACGATATTTTTTACAGTGTTCTTGACAGTCTTGGCACTGTGAAAAATATATTTGTACATGTACAATATATTTTGTAATTTGCCATAAACAATTGTACAACCTCCCACTTTCGCTCGATATTCGATTCCAAGTAGAGTAGTAGGCTAGTAAATTGTACAATTTTAGATTGAGCTTGTACGACTTCTTTCATGGAAAATTTTTCTGTACCCGGTACGACAATTTTTCACAGTGGTGGGGGATTTGTCGGCATCCATGCACTGTGAAAAATATTGTCGTAAATTTACAAAGTTTTTGGAAAGTCTAATTATAATTTAAGTTGCAAATTTAAGAGAGAACATTTTTCATTCGCCAATGCATTTTAAGTCGATACGTACTTCATGTACTTCAAAGCTTACAAATTGTAATTTTACAACTTGCGTCAAGGAAAATTTCCTCTATACCTGAGTACTATTTTTCACAGTGCACCTCGTAAACAGCTGGGGTGGTAAGAAAAGTTATGAACAACGATTACAATTTAGACATTATTGCTGCGATAGCTGACACAAAAATTTCTCATCGTTATTCTGCGCCTCTTCGATTAGTCATCTACAGATTGTTTTACTTTCGCGCTGCCCTACCGCACAAGTGATCCTAGTCTCCCATAAGCTCCCCGAGACTGTCGCGGTCCCCGACTCACCGACTGGCGGCGTGTCACAATCGCGTCCACAGAACTTGTTTTGGCGCGAGGCGGGCTGGAAGGCGGGAAAAGGTGGAATGGAGGGGGAGAGGGGAGGGGCGATGAAAGGATGCTGGACAGTTAGTTTGTAGCGTATCCTCCCGGGAGTCGATGGCGCGCGGAGCAGGTGTCACCGAGTAGCTTTTTATTTATAATGTTTATTGATTACCTGCTAAAGGACATTTTGCCGATCACCAACATCACCAATTACTGAACTTTGTGACTCTGAATTTCTTTTTGGATAAGAAAAGAGAACTTGAGCGTATATGATCCTCATCTATACTTATTTTTCTGAGTCGAGACACCGAGTCCAAAAGCTTTCCATCCCAGTCTTATTTCTTCTACAGCTCCTGCCATCTTTACAGATGTTCTGGGTTGCCCTCTGTGAGTGTGCCCACACCCGCACTGCCCCCTCCCCCAGAAACACACCGAAGGTGATCGGGAGCCGTGGTCGTGCAGTGTGCCAGGGACGGATCCGGGAGAGGACCCCCCGCATAATCCTTTGATATATTGCCTTCCCTTTTCCGCCTTTTCAAACAGTGGCCAAAAAACGAATTAATTCATTCCAGAAAACGTTAAAATGTGAAATGATGCGGTCGTATGCAATGCAATATGAACTGGCCCATCAACGCCGACCTGCACCGCGGCCTGCCCCCCCCCCCCCCTCACCGTTCGACATGCATGCATGTCGGAAGTAAAAAGAGGAAGAACGCAGACGCCAAAAACAAGTAAGTGGTCGAAAAAGTCTGCATTTAAGGAAGTGACTGCGTCGCGGGAATGGCTGCACCTCTCCATATGTATTGCAGTCGCAGCGGCGTGGCGTGCGGATCGTGTGTGAGTCTCTTTGAAATGAATATTGTGATTACAGGGCTCCGGCCGAGGGGAGGAGGGGGAATAATTGGTAGTTGGTGACCCGGGCTGACTGTGCTCGCAGAGCAGATTTAGTGCTGGGCAGTGTGATCACAGGTTCCCAAGGAAAAAAAAGGAAAATCTTAGTTTCCCAAATTTGTTTAATTTCCTCCAAATACTACAGCTATAATCTGATTTTTTTGTAGGTTATTGATTAATGGAGCGCTGAATCTACAGCACACGTAGATCAGGGGGGCAGTCTGCCCGTCCAGTGGTATTGGATTCAAACAGCTACGGTTGACGTACAAAGAGGCGTGACCGCGGCGTATCACGCCAACTGGTTTCGTTTGCCGGTCGGACCCGGTGGGTGCAACCATTTTTATTTTGCCTCACTGCGCAGAGTGCTGCAGTCGCCCTGGGCCACGGTGGCGGCCACGCCACGCCACACCATGAACAACAACAAGAACAACATCATCAACAACAACAACATCAACAAACTGTCGAAGGGAGGATGAAATGAGAAGAAAAATGGATGACCACGTGCCCACGTCCCAGCCTCAAGGTCGGTGCAGTCCATGACCTACCTAATCTGTCTCACTCGTCCAGTCTCGTCAGCTCTGTCCGTCTCTGCCCGAGTCAATACCACGTCGGGCAAATGAAATATTTGCAGTCAATTAACGATCATACAAAATTCAACTTTACTGAACACCTACCTTTCTGAGACCTTATTTCGGTGACCTCAGATGGGTCTGGTGCATCTAGATCAATAATATAGTTTATATGTTATTGGACCAAAAAACACGAAAAGGTCACAGGGATGTCGAATGATCAAAATGATGTTAAATAAATATCAAAATGTAGTCGTTTTGATGTTCTTTTGACGTCGATTCACATGTTGCCTGGGTAGAGCTACTCTGGTGACTTAAACGCTGGACTGTCAGTCTAACTCCTTTACTACACTGCAGTGAATAAGTCATGACTCCACTGATAAAGAAATTGTCCTACTGGCGCGCAAATGCAGGTGCTCAACACTACTTTGTACATTTTTAAGTGTTTAATTACTTAAAAGTGTTCAACTGTAGGGTCGCCGAGGTTTGCCCGCTTTGGACGCTTTTAAAGAGTTCAAATTTACAGTTGAATACTTTAATTTATAGTGTCCAAATTTCCAGCCCAAAATCTATTTGTGTCAACATGGCGTTGAACTATATCATGTGCATGCCAGTAGCAGATTCGATTGTTCTCACTGTGAGGACTTTTGTGTGCCGTTTTTTCTGATGACTTATTGGTGAATTCCCGCTGTGAAAATAGTGCGTTTTTGACATTGTGGATCCGGTAAAATTGAGCAGATTCGATTTGTTGTAGAGGTAACAGGATTTCTCTTAGTAAAGGGGTCTCAGACACACGGCCCGCGGGTGGGCCTTTCTGGCCCGGTGCGAGAGAGACGACGCTAGTGCGGTGTGCGTGAGTGTGAGCGGTCCCACAGCGAGGCCCGCGCTTGGTCTGTTCTCCGAGACCCCTGCCTCAGGATTTCTGTCTTAGGCTTCTTTCGGACCTGGACGGGTCTTAGCTCACCCCGAAAACTGAAAAGTTTTGGCAATCATCGTATGGTTACTCCCGCAACAATCATAAACCATGCCATAGTTGATACAACTTTTCATTTTTCTGGGTGCTGTTTTGCAAAGGAGTGAAGATGATCTCCTGACAGTTCAGGCGGTCCATAGAGTTCTTATCTTAGCGGATCCACTTTTACAGGAACCACTAAAATGTTTGCGGATGCGCGACTCTCTTCGAAATGCATGCGTGAGTCGACCAACAAAGTAAATTTGCATTGGGCGGATAAAGAGGGTGAAACGGAGGTCGGGATTCACTTTACAGGTCAGACGCTCCCTGACGGATACGTGACTACGGCAGGTTGACTTAACCGGACAAGAGTTTTTCTCCTGTGAGTAACCTGAAAAGATTGAGCGTTTACCGCAAATGGTCGAACTCCGATCGGTGAGAGTATTTGTTTTCAAATTTAAACTGGGTACAATGCTCCCTCCAAACTGGCGACAACCTCGTATTTTATACCCTCTCTCATTTTCAACTTTGTCCACTATTTGAAAACCATTCGAACCAGTGCAGATTTGACGCTCTTGATCTGCTGACCTGCACTCCCCTGCGCGTCTCTGCTGTGCTGACAGCGGAATAGGGGACTCATTTGAAAGCGGCGCATCCGCGAAAAGAAGAACCACAACGCTTCGATTTAATAGAGTGTGCACTCTAGTATAAATTGTGAAAATTTTACCTTATTCGCCGTTTGGCGACATAAAGGAGTAAAATCATCCATCCAAATAAAAACACATTTGACTTTGTTGTAGTCTACATAAAACTTAAGAATCCAACCACGACGACAGCAGAGGGGCTGAGAGTATACTATTTACTCGCGGCTCGTCACGGCCAAGGCCATGTGTGTCGTGCCGGGGCCCGCGCTGCCCCCGCGCCGGCCGGGGCCCAGTCGCCCAGCGAGCCAAGCGCCCCCGGCCAGACCCCCGCCCCGAACCACCCCGCCCCGCCCCGGCCCCGCCCAGCGGGCCAGTAACCTGCCGGGTGTCGCCGGGGCGCCGGGGAGACAAGCAAGGCGACAGACGGACCGGCGGTCATTCGGGTCGGGTCGGGTCCGGGGACCATACGCATCGGCTTTAGGACGTTTAGGACCCGCGGAGCTATTTCCGGAGACGTTCCTGAATATCAGACACCGCTAATAGGACGGCCCAGTCCTAGTCCTTGGTCAATGGCCCGGCTGCACCGGAGACCAGCACTGTGGGAGTGGCAGGAATATGCGTACGCTGCGGCCCGACCGCCACTCTGGTCGGCATGCAGAGGCCGCCACACCACGCCGCCACGAAAAAATCTAAACCCGAGGCTGAACCATAAGCTGAATACGGGATATCTAACGAGTTATTTTAACTGTTGTCCAAAAAATTAGGAGCCATACCTAAAAGTAACTTTGTATCTTACTTGACCATTTAGCCCTGCTAATTTTTTAAAGGCACACAGCTAATCTGTAGCAAATAGCTAAATAATTAGTTCTTCCGTAAAGCCATTGGCTTAGTACACTGATAAACCAAGTGTTCAACTGCTCTTGTAAGTGTGCAACCGCAAGTTCAATACTTTCAAGTGTTTAATTCAGTAGTAGTACACTTGCAAGTGTTAAACTCAATATTTGTGCACTTGTAAGTGTTTAACTCTCCTGTTGTACACTACTTCTCTATATCGGTCGCTTACTGTGAGGGAAGTGTTCAACAGAGGAGTTGCACACTTACAAGTTCCCAAATACCGAGTTGAACACTTGCAAGTGTACTACTACTGAATTGAACACTTGCAAGTATTGAACTTGCGGTTGCACACTTACAAGTGTTGAGCAGTTGAACACTTGATTTATCAGTGTATACTACAGCTCATCTTTTACTTTCCATCACGCTGTCTTGCGCCGGGACTCGAAACCACCGGACCACCGCGCTGCCAAACCACCCCACGGTTTGCATCCCGAGGGCGGTGAACCGGACCTCACCCGAGCCGAGCCAACACGGTTAGATTCAGAGGAGGGGGGGTGGGAAGCAAAGCCCGGACAGACGGCGGAACGCATGAAAAGACTTTGCATCCGTACGCCATGACAAACTTCACGTAAATGTATTTCCGCAAAAAGGGCATATGCTCTTGGTTTCTCTGCTGCTTGCCATACGTCCAATATGTGATCACCGTAGCTATAGCGAAAATGACTTTATTTGTGCGGGCGGATGAAATAGAAACATAACGACTGTGTTGCTCTGGGGAGTTAACATTGTCGACTCCGAATCTGAAGTTTTTTAAAAAAAAAACACTACCACGTGCCCTGTTCTTCCAAGTCTGATGAGTGCGAGTGGCAGCGGAGGCAGCAGCTGGACTTTGCTGACGTCACGCGGGTCCTGCCCTTCGTCACGCACTCTATCCATCACTGACAATCAGCAGAAAAACACAATCCGAAAATGGCGTCGAGGTAGAGCGGCGAGCGGGGTTGAGCTCTGGCACGCTCCGCCCGACTTGAAGTCTTCCATCTGAACATGTTCGACACACCCATCTCCCCCCTTTTCCGCCCTCTTTCCCTTTGAGACCGATCAGAAAATATGTACGTATAGACCCATTCGGCAAATGGCGCGGGAGCTCGGGCGCCTGCGAGACTCGGGGTAGGCCACCCCGCAGTACACGCATGCACTGCATGTGAGATGTTGCCTACCTACCAGGCGCCATGAGACCTTTTCATAGGCTCATCCGACCGAACACTTTGTAGGTTCGCACCGGCGAGATGACAAACGTGACGTACTTTCTGGATGTGGCTCCTCTCGGTCGGCTTTTAAGGAAACACCAAAGATATACCATACACCTGGACCTCCTAAACCTCTGGGCGTCTAAACACTTCGCAGAGTACCCACTGCTCCAAACGACATATGCTGCACGCCAACTGCACGTCTCGTCCCGCCACACGTCCAGTGCGGACACGCGTCCGCTTCCCGCGAATGGTGAATCGCAGAAACGCCAAAGAAAGGCAGGATAAACACACACAAATTATATGATGCTGTGCCTAATTGTGAGTCCGACACGATGATGGTCGCACGCGCCGCCGCGCCGCCCGACTCACAATCGGCTCATCTGGCAATGAGACGCATTTTCAGTGTTTTTTCGTGTGGCTCTGTCGTGCCGTTCATTGCTCACCCGTGTGCGGTCTTTGATACTAATTCGTTTGTACTTCCTGAATAATTATAAGCCTTCCGCGCAAATTTTTCTTTACAAAATAAATAAACTGTAAAAAGTGCGTGATTGACCTCACCGTACGAAGGAATGGTGACCCTGACATAAATACCGTGATTCACACGAAATTTCATTTAATAATTCTTGTGTCACTGTAAAAATTGCAGGAAGGTTTACAGGAAAATTTTCCTTGACGCAAGTTGTACAATTACAATTCGTAATCGTAAAAATACATATCGACGTAAAATCCATTGGCGAGTAAAAAATGAGCTCTCGAAAATTTACAACTTATAAATTATTATTCGAGTTGACAAAATGTTTGTAAATTTACGACGATATTTTTTTACAGTGATTGCTCACAAACAAACCCGCACAAACCTATGGTCCATGTCATTTCCTTACAAGATAGTTAGGAAAACAAAAACAACACAACAAAAGCAAACTGCAATACTTTGAGGGCAGTTTAAGAAATACTATAATCTTTTCTCGCAAAAAGTGCAGTCATCATCACACCCGCCGAGTCGCCAAGTGTCTGAAATCGCCTAGTTAAGTGTGAACTACTAACAAGCCTCCTGCATGCACGGTGAAGTCTCTCGTCGTCGTCGTGCAAAGTACTGCGTGTTTTTCCTTTGTTTCTTCTTTTTCTCCCCCGCAGTCCCGTTTAAAAGTAAACCACCTACTCTTGGTCATAACTGTACTCATTTTCCGCAGATTTTTCGGCACGCAGTTCCGGCGGAAGGACGCGCGGGACGGAGCGGGCCGGGTCGGACCCCACCAATTAAAGGGACGGACGGTCCAGTCGGTCTAGTCCCGTCACATCGTGGAGTTGTCTCTCGTGGCGCGCCTTGCACGCGAAGTGCGGCTGCGGCGGGCGGAGCGGGGCGGGGCGGTCCCCACGCGAGGCAAGGGGCTCAGGCTCAGCCATGCCCCCGCGGCGGTGCGCCACGTCCCATCCGCGTCAGGCTCCTCCCCGGCGTTGTTTTGCACGAACTGGAATCACTGCGAAACCAGAGGAATCTAGGAGCTAGGAGCCTCATTTTCTATCTTCTCTCGCGTGTCCTCTCTCCAGGGAGCGACAGAGAGAGAGAGAGAGAGATCTCCAGGGAGCGACAGAGAGAGAGAGAGAGAGAGGGGGGAGGGGGGAGAGCAATGAGCCTGTCGGGGCGATCCGACTGACATAATCCACTTCAATGCACCCAGAAGAGGGCGACATTCGCCGTCACATTTGCCGCGCGGGTTCACTCTCCGCCTCGCGGTCGACGCGATAGCCAAACGACTGCCTTTGGGGACTCGAAGAGCGCGTCCCTGGCGACCAGCAGGAGGAACGCGCGCGTGTGTGGATCCGGATCCGGACGCGCGACGCGACTTAAGATCATCATCGCTCTGCTCGCGCTGTGCTCCCCAAGGGCGGGCTGACACACATCCCAGTGCAGTGTGCGTCCTCGCGGTAAATTGCGCGTGCACGTCGGCCGCGGGGAGGTGCCGCCGCCCGGCCGACGGGGCCCGCCGCCGGCCACGGCTGGAGCGCCAGCGAGAATTTTGCGGGTTTCCAAAGTGGCCTGGATTTTCACCCCGCGTTTCACCCCTCTTTCGTTTCTCTTGATCCCCCTCTCCCTCAAATCAATCGGCGGCCTGACCAACTATCCAAGTCAGTAGTAGCTGTCGCACACTCTCAATATAAAGGGACAGTTTTGTTCACATAGGTAAAAGGAACGTTTTCCGAACACATCCAGACAGGATGCAATTCTGTTCCGAAAACAGGACGACTTGTGTTAAAAAAAAGTTTAAAGAAAAAATCGCATCCGACCTGGATGCGCACCAAAACGTTCCCTTTTTAGGAAACAAAATTGTCCCTTTTCATTTAGAGTATGCATTTTAAAAATAACTCTGCTTCATCCTTTGAACTTTTTCGACTTTGTCCCAATAATTTTGTTCCTTATTTTTACCCATTGGGGTCGCGATGGCCCTTCTCTCGCCGTCGTGCAGCAATAACTGTGACAACGCCGGAGCAAGACCGTGATGGTGAACAAGAACAGTTGCCCGGCCGTACAACAAACCCCAACAGGGTCATTGGTGCGGACACACGTGCGTGGCGGCAACACGTGGCAATACACACACAATGCCACCTGCTGCCGAAAACGTTTATAGAGAACGAACTTAACCACTGGGCTGCAAGGGGCAATAGCGGCCCGGCCAAATGACCGTGCGCCGGCGTATAGGCTCGGCCGTGTGCTTATTCCGCGCGGCAAGGCACGCGGCGGCAAGGTTTTGTCGTCGCACCAAGTACATGCAGATAATATTACGTTCTTCTTCTTCTTTTTTTTTTATTTTTTTTTTTACTAAAGTATCATCTGTTGTATTTATTGAAATTGGGTAATGTCATGTCGCGCGTTTTGTCTATGAGGAAGTTGCCCGATAAGAGGAACAAGAAGAAGGTAGCACTGAGGAGGTGGCGTGGCGTAGCGCCGTCCCTAAACAAAGCAGAAGATGAGCGACAGTCTAGCAGAGGTCAGGATGCGTGTCGTTAGATTTCGGATTAGAACCGGGCCTATGCATCTAGCACCTTGGTACCACCTATACCAAAGTTTATTACGACAGTCGATTCATTATCATTGAGTTAAAAAAGTACCAATGAATATGTCCGTACACTAACCTAAACAACGACACTGGGACGGTTTAGAAGATTGTAGAAACTTACTTTTACGAAGCCAAACTTAACAGATGCACATTTTTTCACAAGATTGCCACTCCGGTGTAATATGGACCCAATTTTTCTTCACAAATTCTACAAAACTTGATTTATGATCACACATCCACTCGCGACAAAACACAGTATGGTCGCCGGCGTTCTGCTTTGCTTAGGGATGGCACTACGCCACGCCACCTCCTAGTGCTAACTGCTTCTTGTTCCTCTTATCGGGCAACTGCCTCATGCACTGAAAATTGAGGAGTCACGCTTGCACATAGCAAAAGTCGACCACATTGTGATCACTGAATGTGTTGAAAGTGAAGGAGGGTAGGCATTGGATGCGAGGTGGGGGCGGGGGAGG